TTTTAAAAAAAAAAAAAAAAAAAAAAAAATCTTAATAGATAATTTTTTTTAAATTAACCCAAAATTTTGAGTTGATTGAGCAGGTGATAAAATTCATAATCCTAATCCGAATAAATCCAACCCATTGTTTTCGAGTTGAGTGGTTGATTTTTTTTTAAATTATTTAGAAATTCATATTTATTTATCATATATGTTATATTAATAACTACCCTCTCATAAAATTTAAATATTAAACATTTTACTAGTAATTACTAATATTAATATGAAAATTAAGTACGACATGTAACTCTATTTTTGGAAAACTAGTCAAACATTTCGCAGGCACGCTTCTTTGTGCAAAACTTGTCGATTCGATCTTCTTTCAACTCATATCTCCATGTCTCTGTTTCAATTTCATCTGCATTAAAGCATAGGATTCTAGGTTCATTTTCCGGCAATGGCGCGACGAACCTACACTACGGAATTGGGCTGCATAGCTTGTGAGGAGCTTGACGATTTTGGCGCTGGAAACGAAGGCTGGCTCGTTGACAACCCAAATCTTTTATGTGCCCTTGATTCACACTCTCTGGCGCTGGCCAATCGATCCGTCATCCTTGTTCTTGGTTGGGTCGGTTCCGATGGGTATCAGGTGAAGATCAAGCCTTCTGATTTGTCTCCGATCGAAGCGGAGTACATCTCCGCTTTAGAATGGTTGGTGTTGGATGAAATTAAGGTGATTTTGGCCGGGACTTCTTGTGGGTATTTGCTGATTTACTCCTTAAGTGGGGATTTGATTCTTAAGCAGGTACCTAGCCGATCTTGTCGCTTTTGATTGTCTTTTATACGTTTTTAGGTAATCATTTTGATATGGGGAATTGAAGATGTTTTAGCTCACAACTGTTTTAGCAGTCAGAAGATGTAAAATTATGGAAGTACTTGTGGGTTTAATATGATCTTTCACCTGGAAAGATGCTGGTGGAATGGTAGATTCACTTATCTATTTATACACTTTATTGGTAGTTCATAAATTCAGATGATAGAATGACTGTTAGTATTCATTTTGGATTAATTTGTAGTATGATCGTGAAGATGACTCCAATTTTTCTTAATGGTGATGGAATTTGTTTCCAATTTGTGTATTTTTAGATGATCCATCCTGCAAGAATTCTAAAAATTAGGGTTCGTGGTTTGAAGAGAGATTTATCCTATGGATCTTCGTACGAGGAGGTTTCGATTGTTATGCCAGGCGTAATTGCCCGCATTGAAGGGTCTGATATTCAGGTTCTTACTGCCATTCTTTACTAAGAGTTTGATCTTGAAAACTAGTGTAGGTTTAGATTATTGTGCTGTTCTTTTCGGCATTGATCGTGTTGTTGAGAAATCGTTCATAATTCGTTTTTTTTCCTCTTGAGAATTCATTTTAAAATTGATGTTATACCTCTATGCTTCAACTTTAAGAAATATTGCCTTCTGCCTTTATGGATCTTGATTGTTTTGGATTAATATAACATGCCCTACATGCTTGGTCACAGAATACACTGCGAAAATGGTTTCAAGAATCAAATGCACGGATTTGGGATCCGAAATCAAGCAGTCGAGATATGGAGGATTCTGGAAATTCTTTTGAAACATTAGCCTATCAAGTGTGGAATGTCAGCAAATATAGTGCGTGTGCAGATGCTGCGATCACCGGTGTTATGCCTCCTCCATTGATGGAACTCCAGGTAAAAAGGTCGTTTATTTATTTGAATCGAAAAACTTGTCGGTTGTTCCTAGGAGCAGTGCAAATGTCATGAAAGCTGTCTGAAATTATTCTGGTATTTGAATTCAGCTGTTTTTATTGTTGGGCAGTCAAGTGAACGTTATTTTTGTGCAGTCACTGTCGGGGAGGATGCTGTTATTTCGGCATTCAGGTTAGGTTGTCTGGTCTTTTGCTGAAATTAAGTTTTAAATAAAAATATTATACTTGAAGCTTGTCATTTATTCTAACATTTTGTTTACTTTGAATGGTGGCATCATGTGTAAAGACTTTCTGAAGATAAGAGTAGGTCTTTAGTTGGAGCCATTTTATCAAAAGTTGTACCTGTAACATTTTCAACAATAGCTTCCTTTTCAAAAATGATTTGGCAAAGTGATCCAAAAACATCCAAAAAGCCTGATGTGAAGGGTCAAGCTTTTGCTCGAGGTGCGAATAGTTTCTCGTAATATTTAATCAATTCCATGTTTTCCTAGGACTAAGTTTTGGTTCTTTTTGCTGGATTTCCTATCTAATACTTTGTCAAGCAATCTCGACGTGCAAAGATACTAAGCTCTGGATTGGTCATTGTGAACATATGAACTTTTAAGTATCTAGGAACTCGTTTACGAAGCTCATTATACATTATTGTCTTTGTGAGATCCCATATCGGTTGGGGAGGAGAACGAAACGTTCTTTATAAGGGTGTGGAAACCTCTCCCTAGTAGACGCGTTTTAAAAACTTTGAGGGAAAGCTCGAAAGGAAAAATCCAAATAGGACAATATTGCTAGCGGTGGGCTTGAGTTGTTAAAAATGATATAAGAACCAGACACCATGGGGTATGCCAGCGAGGACGTTGGGTTCCAAAAGGGGTGGATTGTGAGATCGATTGGAGAGAGGCTCCGCATGCCAGCAAGGATGCTGGGCTCTGAAGGGGGTGGATTGTGAGATCTCACATCGGTTGGGGAGGAGAATGAAACCTTCTTTATAAGGGTGTGAAAACCTCGCTCTAAGACATGTTTTAAAAACCTTGAAAACCTTGAGGGGAAGCCTGAAAAGAAAAGTCCAAAGAGGACAATATCTGCTAGCGGTGGGCTTGGGCTTGGGCTGTTACAAATGTTATCAGAGCCAAACAACTATATAAAGATGTAATTCATCTACTATTGATATATCTAGATCTTGAGTACATGCCACTGGTTGTTTAAGTGTTGCTTAGTCTTCTAACAACTATGTATCAGTTATTGTACAATTTTGACAACATTTTTAGGAACTTGTTGGCAAAATGATTGCTGCAGCCTCTCTTTTGACGTGCTTGAAGGACCATCCAAGGAAGGGTGAGAAACTGACTTTGTCACCAAGTGGTACATTGGCAGTGATTACAGATTCACTGGGCCGTATATTGCTCCTAGACACACAGGCACTTGTGGTGGTGCGACTATGGAAGGTTATCTTTTAAAACTGAATGATTTAAAGTCAACTCTTTTTCGACATTTGGTCTCTCGTCCCTAAAAACTCGTGAAAATATAATACAGGGATATCGCGATGCTAACTGTCTGTTCATGGAGATGCTAGTCAATAGAGATACTGCATCATCAAGTTCCATAGATTATGAACCAGAAAAAAATGACTACTGTTTGTGTTTGGCTATTCATGCACCAAAAAAGGGGATAGCTGAGGTACTCTTTACCACTCATGAATTAAGTATACTCTACATTTGCTTCACTTTTTTCTTTTTTTTTTTTCCTTTTTGATCTTTGAACGTCCGTGACCGTCAACTTTCGCTTGGTCTTCCCAGCGTCAGAAACCATAATTTGACAAGAAAAGTTGGAACAGTCCAAGCTCACCGCTAGCAGATATTGTACGTTTTGGCCTGTTATGTATCGCTGTTAGCCTCATGGTTTTAAAACATGTCTACTAAGGAGAAGTTTCCACACCTTTATAAGGGATTTTACGTTTCTCTCTCCAACCGATGCGAGATCTTACAAATGGTATCGAAACCAAACACCAGGCGGTGTGCTAATGAGAACGCTGACCCCCAAGGGGGGTGGATTGTGAGATCCCACATCGGTTGGAGAGTGGAACGAAACATTTCTTATAAGGGCGTGAAAAACCACTCCCTAGTAGATGAGTTTTAAAACCTTGAGGGGAAGCTCAAAGAGGACAATATCTGCTAGTAATGGGCTTGAGCTGTTATAAAAGTAATATGATTTGCACTATTAAAAATTAAATTGTAGCGTGATATTTTTTTTAGATAATATTAGATAGAAATGAGTAATGACACAGAAAAGGAGCCTACCCAGACCCAGACTCAAACATGGTGGCCACCTACGTAGGATGTAATGTCTTACGAGTTAGTTTGACAACCAAATATTGTAGAAGGTGTTTGTCCTATGAAAATAGTCGAGATGTGGGCAAGTCGGCCTTACTTTTTAACCTTAAAAAGTCGATCTCTTTGTTTACCTTACGAACTTATCCCCTTGCTTGTTAGATGCTTGTGGAGATTTTGGTTGCATAGAAGCATGGGCTTCTCCCAAGTTACTGAAAATGAATTGTATGATGTTTGGCAGATATGGCAGATGAGAACAGGGC